TGTGTGTGTGTGTGTGTGTGTGTGTGTGTGTGTGTGTGTGTGTGTGTTTTTGATTCGTTCGAGAGATAGTGTGAACGAAAGATAACCGAAAAAAACCGAAAAAAAAGTTTTTTTCACATATCTTCGTCATTTCTTCTCGGATCGTTTTTGATCTTATAGAATAATTCTAGAGCTTAAAAAACCGCGTCGATCGCCGCCAAAAACGTGGAAATTGGTTGATTAGTTCGAGAGATATCCTCGACGAAATATTTGGAAATAAGGATTTTTTCAACATAACTCCGACATTTTTGGAATAACTTTCAAACAGCTCTACCGATCGATTCCAAAAACTAATCAGCTCTTAACATCATAAAACCGCGTCGATTGCCTCCAAGCTGGTCAAAATCGGTTGATTCGTTCGAGAGATATCGTGAACGAAAGAAAATTGTCAAAAGTGTTTTTTCGGGATTACTCCGAAATTTTCGGTTCAATCAATTAAAACCTGAAAATACTTTATGAGGATAATAAAACTGCGTCGAATGATGTTAACCGCGTGAAAATTGGTTTATACATTTAAAAGTTATTGCGATTTGAAAATTCTAAAAATAGTGTTCTATGAAACTTCTATCAGACTTTTGAGCTGGGAGAGCTCAAATGCATAGAAATATTATTTCTTTGAACTCAGCGAGCTCAAAATATCAGATAAATTATATTTTGAGCTCAAAAATTTCAAAAATGTCATAAGTACAATTTTAAGCGCCCAGTAATGGAATTTGTGGGAAGTTGCACGGATGGCCTTTAGGGTAAACCGCTTTTCTAATTTTTTGTATTGTTTTTGTGAAATCATTGGATACTAACTGTATTAATCATTAAACTTAGTCATTATATTCGTAAATTAAGTCTATAAATTGAGAATTGTATCACAGAATCGTTAAATTATATTTAATTTATGATAGAAATAAAGTTTACGGAAAAAAAATTTTTTCCATTTTTAAAAATTTGACAATTTTTTTTTCAAATCGATAAAAAAAATATAAAAAAAAATCGGCCCTGCTCGGGATTGGCAGGGATAGTTGTGAAATTAATTGAAGTTTTTTTTGAGAAAAAAAAACACAGAAAATAGCGGACTTCGAAAAAATGACGATTTTACTTAAAAAAACCGATTATTTTATATAATTGATTATGTTAAATTTTTTTCGTATAATTTTTCGAAAAGTTCATTCAAAAACAAGCTGAGAAGAACTTAATAATCTGGTTTGAGACTTGGCTTTACCGAAAAATGGAGCTGAATTACTTACGTCAAGGTTGAAAGAAAAACATTTTTTGGCTAAAGGTGTATCAGTGACATTCTATCGAAATAGGGAAAAAAAATTCCGGAAATTTTTTATGAACGACGATCAAAATTCGGTGGTATACTTTTCAGATGATAAAGCTTTAGTTGATGAATTGGAACCGAACACGTATAAGGATGATGAGTGGAGACTTTTTATCGATGCATCGAAACGAAGTCTTAAAGCTGTTTTGCTTCATATTGGGAATGAATTTGCGCCGATTCCAATAGCTCATTCGACAAAACTGAAAGAAACTTATAAAAATTTACAGATTGTGTTGGTAAAAATAAAATATTCAGAGCATAACTGGAAAATTTGTGGAGATCTCAAAATTGCAACACTTCTTTTAGGTCAGCAATCGGGATTCACCAAATATCCTTGCTATTTATGTTTGTTTGATAGCAGAGACCGGAAAAATCACTATGTCAAAAAAGAATGGCCATCAAGATCTGCATTGAATCCAGGTTCCCATAACGTTATACGACCACCATTAATTCAGCCTTCCAAATATTTGCTGCCACCACTACATATCAAGTTGGGACTCATAAAACAGTACGTGAAAGCTCTGAATAAAGATGGTGATTGTTTTGCGTACTTGAGAGGAAAGTTTCCTGCAATAAGTGATGCGAAATCGAAAGAGGGAATTTTTGATGGACCTCAAATACGATCTTTATTTCAGAATGCAAATTTTGAAGAAACAATGGACGACACAGAAAAAGCAGCTTGGGTAAGCTTCAAAAATGTTTTACAAAACTTTTTGGGAAATGAAAGAAGTGAGGATTACAGCACTTTAGTTGACGCATTGCTGGAAAACTACAAAAATTTGGGTTGTTTAATGAATCTCAAATTACACTTTTTAAATTCTCATCTTGACCACTTTCCTTACAATCGTGGAGACTATAGTGAAGAACAGGGAGAACGTTTTCACTAAGATATCAGTGAAATGGAGAGTAGATACCAAGGAAATTGGAGTGTTAACATGATGGCAGATTTTTGTTGGATGTTAAAAAGAGAAGCACCCGAAGAAAATCGTAAACGAACGAGGAATCCACTACGAAGATCAGTTGAGGATAAAAGAGTGCGATACAAACGAAGGAAAGTTTAGGATTCGTAAAGATCATTTCTTTCTATCTTTTAATGTCGTGTTTTTCACAGATTTCAAGATATTTGATATATTTACGTTATAGAAATTCAAATCTTCCACCTGAGGAGTCGGACTCAGCGATGTTCTACGGGGTTGGACATCCAATCATCGATGCAGACTTTATCATGGAGGAACTGGACAAAGCCATTGCTCGAGCTAAAAACAATAAATCGCCGGGGCCTGACAGCATTCAGAATGAATTCTTGAAGAATTTACCATACAATTGAAGCTCTACACATTGTGCCTCCTAAACAGAATCCTTAAGAAAGAAACTCCGCCGTCTGACTGGTTTGCTACTCTTACAACCTTTATCCACAAAAAAGGGGACAAGATGGACCATTTGAATCATAGAGGTATCGCTTTAGTTAAGCACATCGCCAAACTACTCACCAGCTTGATAAACTCTCGACTCCTAAAATAGGTGGAAGACAACAAGATCGTACCGGAAGCACAATCAGGCTTTAGACCCAACCGTGGATGCTTGGACAATCTGTTTGTCCTTACAACTGTGCTGAATTGCCGCTTACGACAAAAAAAAAGCTGCGTAATATCTCTTGTTTGTAGATTTTAAGCGGGCTTTCGATTCGGTCAACCACAAGCTCTTGTGGCAGAAGCTCTTTGAAGTAGGTCGTAGTACTAAAATAGTGCGGCTACTCAGAAACATCTACAATTCTGCAACCCTGAAACTTCGGATTAACAGACTTCTGTCCAAAGACTTCAAGATCAACGAAGGTGTACTACAAGAAGAACTACTCAGTCCGTTGCTATTTATCATTTTTATTGCTGATTTGGAACCATTTATGAGGAACAATGAATGTGAAGGCGTAAATATTGATGGTTATACTGACGTGTTACTGCTTCTCTACGCCGATGACTTGGTGATTATGGCCTCATCGGAAGCTGACCTCCAAAAGAAGACTAACTCATCAAGATATATTGTACACGGAACCATCTGCAAGTTAACATAGCGAAGACTAAAGTCTTAGTATGCAGACGAGGAGGAAGACCTCCTGATGATATTCACTTCCTCTATGGCAACAACGAGATGGAATCAACGAGAACATACGACTATCTCGGGCTAAAAATCTCATCGGCGGGTTTTAGCCGCACAACGGCAAATGAAGCGATACTCAAAGCCAAGATGGCCATTGGTGCAGCTCATTCACTACATATTAAAGCTAAAACAGACTCATACGACTGCATTGTAAAAATTTTTGATAGCATTGTAGCGGCTACTCTTCTTTATGCGGCTCCGATCTAGGCAATCAAATTCCTGGAATTAGTTGAGCAGGTCCAAACAAGCTTCTTTGAAAGAGACTTCTGCCTACCAAAAAGCACAGAAGGGGCTTTAATTAGAGAGGAGCTCGGGAAACCTCCTCTTGCCTTTAGATAATTACAGATAATTAAAGCAACTTTGCAGTGGATTATATGTGTGCTGGAAATGGACAATAACCGCCTGCCCTTAATCTGCCTCAGAAGACTACATGCACTCAGAAGTAACGCAAATAATGTCAAACACAATTGACTAGCTCAAGTATTTGAAATAATAAACACTGTCACACCTGAATTTACGCCTGCGCTGAAAACTCTGGACGCTGAAAAATGGAAGTCTTTCAAAGCATACTTCCTAGAGAAATACAGGAAACACCTACTCGAGCAAGACCTAAGAAAAGTAGCCAACGCTAACTATCTACAGATAATGCGTTTTGGGTCCTGCGTGGAGAATGTCATTCAATGAAATTCCTGTAGATGTTGCACAGGAACCATTGAACACTGTGCGGAGCATCGTAGTGGCGCTGTCGAGCTTCAATACCCTATGGTGAGGCAAGAAGTAAGCGTTTGCGGGCAAGTCGTTGATTGGAACTCGTACCATGTGTCCTAGTATGTATTCTGCCATGAACGCACGGTACATGTCAGAATATTCCTTTTCTCGCGACATGCGAGTTATTAATCTGCGGAGTGACCCCATGGCTGCGTTGATAGAGTCGTCAAGTTGACTCTCGGGGGCTTTAAGCGGTAATCTCACTACGTAGCGTCCATCAGGCTGTCGATATATATATATATATATATATATATATATATATATATATATATATATAATATTTACTTTAGTATATAATATTTACATTAGTATATAATATTTACATTTAAATAATCACGCAAACGCTTTGTCACTTTTGTAATAGACTTATCGTATATAAATACGATAAGTCTATTACAGAAGTGACAAAGTTATCACAGTTCATTAAAATTTTATCTAAAATCTTTTCAAGCATCTCAGGAACCTCCATGAACAAGTTCTTCTCTAGCTTGCCATTGAGGTAGGCAGTCACCACATCCATTTGGTGAATATCTAGTCCCAGCTTTGCAGATAATGCCGACAACAACCTGATTGAAGTTGATCTAGCCACAGGAGAATAAGTTTCGTAGAAATCCTCTCCTGGGCGCTGTGAGCATCTTTTGGCAACTAGTCGTGCCTTTTTGACCTCTCCTTGACTCGTACTCTTTGTAGAGAACACCAGACGGCTACCAATTACCTTTTGGTCTTTTGGTCTCGGCACAAGTTTCCATGTACCGTTCTTTATCTGAGCGGCTATCTCTTTTTCCACAACCATACTCCACGCGTCCGTGTTCTGGTTCTGATTAACTTCCTTCCAACAACTCGGAACGTCTGTCACCAAATTGAAAAACACCTCGTCTTCTCCAGATGACTGAATCTCGTCATCATCAGCTTCCTCTCCGTTGTCAATTGGACATGACGCGTATTATTTTCGTGGTCTTCCTACACCACCACTACGAATTAAACGAAGGCGTCCCCTCCCTCTTTTTGAGGGATTAACTAATTTTTCCCACGACACTGTCGCTCCCCACTTTCTCAGTTTTGGGAACTTGTCCGGCTCATCTTGTGTCCCATGGTTGTTGGCGCATGGCTTCCACGCATTTCCCTTAGTGGCTCGCAAAATTTTCCTCTGGTCTCCGTCCACTTGGCTTCTATCTCGCTTCATTTCTTCGGAGCTTCTTCTTCTTCTTGGCTCTGTTTTTCTTCAGACACTCTCGGCTCCCTAATATCCTCATGAGTTATCTAATAACTATCGTTAAAAATGCTAGCCGTAAGATGGACGGTGTGGCTTAATGTATATAGAATAAGTGAAAGGAAATTTAGTATAGACCGGATAGCTCAAATGGTAGAGTAGCCGACATGTCTTCGGAAGGTTCTGGGTTCGAATCCCAGTCCGAGCTATCTAATAATTTTTTCTCACATATTCTATACACTCACATTAAGATGATCCTCTCCACAATCCTTTCTTAATCCTTTCCTACCAATTATCCTGTTACGTGAATGTTGGAACGCTTCACGTAATAATTATCCGTAACTCTTATTCTTTCCCGCTTCACAGCATTATTTATATTTGTTAAAAAAATGTAGAACGCTTAATCTAATAACTTTACAGCATTATTTATATTTGTTAAAATGTGGAACGCTTCACGATTTTGCGTGTCATCCTAACATTTGAGCTATCCGGTCTATACTAAATTTCCTTTCACTTATTCTATATACATTAAGCCACACCGTCCATCTTACGGCTAGCATTTTTAACAAATATAAATAATGCTGTGAAGCGGGAAAGAATAGGAGTTACGGATAATTATTACGTGAAGCAATAATATAACCCTGATAATTCCCACTCTACCTTCATTCGGCTCATTGGGTATTTCACGATATTCATGTCTAAAAACTGGCTCTGACATAAATTTTACATCTTGACTGACTATTAACTTTCTTGACTCAGGTAGGTGTACTCGATACGCTTTAGACTGTGAATCATATCCCCCAAAAATACCAGGCACCGCTTTCGAATCAAATTTCCATTTACCAGGATTTTTATCCTTTACGAAGACCTAGCCACCAAACACTTGCATGAAACTAACTGTAGGAATTTTACCTGTCCACACAGTAAATGGCACGCCACCATCTAATGCCAATGTTGGACACCTATTTTGAACATAACTAGCTGTGTTGATAGCTTCAGCCCAAAACGACGTTGGACTCCCAGCTCGTCTTATCATGCACCGAGCCATTTCAACAAGTGTGCGGTTCATCCGCTCTGCGACGCTATTCTGTTGGGGCGTTACTAGACGCCATAGAATACTCTAGACCGTTGTCCGACCGTAGAAATTTAATTTTGTTTCCTGTGAACGTTTCAGCTTCCGCTTTATAACTCTTAAAAATGTCTAACACTTGACTTTTATTTTTTATAGAACGTATTATACAGAAACGCGATTTGTCATCGATGAAAGTAAAAAAATACTTTTTCCCACCAAACGATTCATAATGCATGGGACCACATACATCCGTATGCACAATTTCTAATAAGTCTTTAGTGCGTTCTTTGCTGCTCTTCGGAAAAGGCTTACACGCTTGCTTTTCCCTCGCACAAACTCCACATTCCGACAACTTTTCGTTTTCACCGAATTTCATCCCGTATACGAGCCCGTTCTTAGCCATTAGTTTCAAATCCCGCTCGTTTACATGACCAAGCTTCTCAAGCCAAATGTCAATCGGTCGTTTTTATTTATTTTCCATGACCGCGTTATTCACACCATTTTGCCACTGTCTTACGTAACATAAATTACCAACGTGATCCGCTCGAACCCAAATTTCATTCTAATTGTCCACTACCACGGCATCTTTTCACCGAAAAATTACATTAAAACCACGATCGGTGATCGCCGATACCGATAATAAATTTGTACGAAGATCTGGAACAAACATAACCCGTGTGACGTTAATCTTGCGCTGTTTCTGCCCGACATTCACCGATAGTCTCACTTTGCTGATACCAGTAATTCGCGTACACTCGTTATTTGCTAAAGTCACTTCACTGTTAGCTTGGGTACATTCACGAAACATCCGTTTATCATTGCACACATATGACCAGTGCAATCGCTATCAATACAATACGCTTTGGTTAAGTTATTACTATACATAGCCTGTTCTGCCGTATACATCATGGAAGTCGCAGTTGAATCATCGCCGCCGTCTTGAAATTGCCTGGGACTCTGGAAATGCTTTTTCCCTTTCTTCTTAGGACAATTCTTAGCTATGTGTCCATTTAGGGTAGGCCAAAAAACTGACCTATCGAATTTATGGGTTAAAATGAACCTATATATCGACAAAAAAATTTCCCTGCAAGGCAGGATTTTTAGCTCAATTTTGAAAGGTGTCGGTGAGCGTTCAAAGTTTTCCATTTAAATAGCACGTAAAAAAATATTTTTTCATTAAAAATAATATAACTTTTGACCCGCTTGAGATAAAAATTTTGTGACGGTGGATTCTTGAAGGGCATTAAATTTCCAATAAAATTATGCCGAGTTCTGTTTCTTAAAGTCAAAAATTCATATATTCACTGGTCATGTAAATTGAGCAAAAAATCAAGCAATTTTAGGCATTTATTGTTAAAAATTTTTATATTCAAGGAAATCAATTACTTTGAAATGAAATAAGTAGAGGGGTGGGGGCGTACACAAGTATTCTTTGTGTAAAAGCGTGGTTTAAACCTCCTTGTCTGATAAGCGCTCCAGCGCAAGACTTAGATTTCTTGAAAAAAGTTAATTGATTATGAAAATATCAATAAAACCATTTTGAATGCTACTGTACCAACATTTTTGCGACATTTATGGTATCTGACAGAAAAAATTGCTGCTACGTCATTTTTCGAGTTTAGTGTTAGTTTAGAAGTTAAAAAAAATGGTAAACGCATTTGAAAAGGAAGAGCACAAAATTTATTTCCTTAAATATAAAAATTTCTAACAATAATTTTTAATGAAAAAAGATTTGTTTACGTGTTATTTAAATGGGAAACTTTGAATGTTCACCGACACCTTGCAAAATTGAGCTAAAAATCCTGCCTTGCAGGGAAATTTTTTTTTTCGATATATAGGTTCATTTGAACCCATAAATTCAATA